TTCCATGACAAAGCCAGATTTAAACAATACGTATCCATGAATCCAGCTCTACAGAAAATGCTAGAAGGAAAACCTAGAGCCAAGGAAGATAACTACATTCACAAAGACACAGGCAATATAGAATCATACTTTACAAAACACTAAAAGAAAAAGGGAGGAGAAACTACACAAAATAACTTCACTAAAAATAAATCAAGCGCAAACAAGGATCACCAATCAATGGTCATTAATATCCCTCAATGTCAATGGCCTCAACTTACCTATAAAAAGACACAGACTAGCAGAATGGATACGAAGACAGAACCCTTCCTTCTGCTGCATACAAGAAACACATCTCAACACCAAAGACAGACGTTATCTCAGAGTAAAGGGCTGGGAAAAGATCTTCCAATCAAACGGCCCCAAGAAACAAGCGGGCGTAGCAATCCTAATATCTAACAAATTAGGCTTCAAATTAAAATCAATCAAAAGAGATGAAGAAGGGCACTTCATATTCATCAAAGGAAAAATACATCAAGACGAAGTCTCGATTTTAAATATCTACGCCCCAAATACAAAGGCACCTACATTCGTGAAAGAAACATTACTAAAGCTCAAAATGCACATAAAATCTCACACACTAATAGTAGGAGACTTCAACACTCCGCTCTCACCGCTAGATAGGACCTCCAGACAGAAACTTAACAAAGAAACAAAAGAATTAATAGAAGTTATGACCCAACTGGGTTTAACAGACATCTATAGAACATTCCACCCAAATACAAAGGGATATACCTTCTTCTCGGCACCACATGGAACCTTCTCTAAAATTGACCACATAATAGGAAACATAGCAAATCTCCACAGATACAAAAAAATTGGAATAACCCCCTGCATCTTATCAGACCACCATGCATTAACATTAGAATTCAACAATAACACAAATCGCAGAAACCCTACAAACTCATGGAGATTGAACAATGCACAATTGCACCATCCCTGGGTAAAGGAACAAATAAAAAAAGAAATTAAAGACTTCCTCGATTTCAATGAGAATGAAGACACAACATACACAAACTTATGGGACACTTTGAAAGCAGTGCTGAGAGGAAAGTTTATAGCACTAAGTGCCCACATGAAAAAACTGGAGAACAGTCATACTAGAGAATTAATAGCACAGCTGAATGTTCTAGAACAAAAAGAAGCAAACTCCCCCAGGAGGAGCAGACGCCAGGAAATAATCAAATTGAGGGCTGAAATCAATCAAGTAGAAACCAGGAAAACATTGACAAGAATCAATGAAACAAAGAGTTGGTTCTTAGAGAAAATCAACAAAATAGACAAACCTCTGTCCAAACTAACCAAAAGACAGAGAGAGAACATGCTAATTAACAAAATCAGGGATGAAAAAGGGGACATAACAACGGACTCAGAGGAAATCAAGAGAATCATCAGGGCATACTTTGAAAATCTGTACTCCACAAAATTTGAAAATTTAAAGGAAATGGACAATTTCCTGGATAGATATCACTTGCCAAAACTAAATCAAGAACAGATAAATAATCTAAACAGACCTATAACCCCTAATGAAATAGAAGCAGTCATCAAAAGTCTCCCAAACAAAAAAAGCCCAGGTCCAGATGGCTTCAAGGCAGAATTCTACCAGAAATTCAAAGAAGAGCTCATTCCAATACTCGTCAAAGTATTCCACACTATAGAAGCAGGAGGCTCACTGCCAAACTCTTTCTACGAGGCTACAATTACCTTGATACCCAAGCCACACAAAGACACAACTAAGAAAGAGAACTATAGACCAATTTCCCTCATGAACATTGATGCAAAAATACTCAATAAAATAATTGCAAACCGGATTCAAGAACACATCAGAAAAATCATCCACCATGATCAAGTAGGCTTCATTCCAGGAATGCAGGGATGGTTCAACATTAGAAAATCTATCAATGTAATCCACCATATTAACAATCTGCGAAAGAAAAACCACATGATCATCTCACTAGATGCTGAAAAAGCCTTTGACAAAATCCAGCACCCCTTCATGATAAAGGTCCTAGAGAGATCATGGATAACAGGAACGTACCTGAATATAATAAAAGCAATATACAGTAAACCAACAGCTAACATCAAACTAAATGGAGAGAAACTCAAAGCAATTCCTCTAAAATCAGGAACAAGACAAGGCTGTCCACTCTCTCCATATCTCTTCAATATTGTACTTGAAGTTCTAGCTACAGCAATAAGACAACAAAAGGAGATAAAGGGGATACAAATAGGAAAAGAAGAAGTCAAACTTTCATTATTTGCAGATGATATGATAGTTTGCATAAGTGACCCAAAAAACTCCGCAAGGTTACTCCTAGAGCTGATAAACACCTTCAGCAATGTGGCAGGATACAAGGTAAACTCAAAAAAATCAGTGGCCCTACTATATACAGATGATGAAGTGACTGAGAAAGAAATCAGAGAAACATCACCTTTTACAATAGCCAAAAACAGCATCAAATATCTGGGGATAATGTTAACCAAGGAAGTGAAAGACCTGTATATCAAGAACTTTGTGTCTTTGAAGAAAGAAATCAAAGAAGATACCAGAAAATGGAAAGATCTCCCATGCTCTTGGATTGGAAGGATCAACATAATAAAAATGGCAATCTTGCCAAAAGCAGTCTATAGATTCAATGCAATCCCTATCAAAATTCCATCACAATTCTTCAAGGACCTGGAAAGAACATTAATCAACTTTATATGGAAAAACAAAAGGCCCAGGATAGCCAAAACATCCCTATACAATAAAGGAACTTCAGGAGGCATCACCATACCTGACTTCAAGCTCTATTATAGAGCTATAGTCCTGAAAACAGCTTGGTATTGGCACAAAAATAGGCAGGTAGACCAATGGAACCGAATCGAAAGCCCTAATTTTAACCCACACACCTATGAACACCTGATTTTTGACAAAGAAGCTAAAACTGTACAGTGGAAAAAAGAAAGCATCTTCAACAAATGGTGCTGGCATAACTGGGTAGTGGTATGCAGAAGACTGCAGATAGATCCATGTTTATCGCCTTGTACAAAACTTAAGTCCAAATGGATCAAAGATCTCAACATACATCCAGCCACATTGAAACTTTTAGAAGAGAAAGTGGGAGATACTCTTCAACGAGTTGGTACAGGAGACCACTTCCTAAACATAACACCAGTGGCACAGGCACTGAGATCAACAATTAACAAATGGGACCTTCTGAAACTAAAAAGCTTCTGTAAGGCAAAGGACACAATCAAAAAGACAAAAAGGCAGGCCACAGAATGGGAAAAGATATTCACTAACCCTACATCTGACAGAGGGCTAATCTCCAAAATTTACAAAGAACTCAAGAAACAAGTCTCCAAAACACCAAAGGATCCACTTGAAAGGTGGGGTACAGAGCTAAATAGAGAATTCTCAGTAGAGGAGGCTAAAATGGCCAAGAGACACTTAAGAAAGTGCTCAACATCCTTAACCATCAGGGAAATGCAAATCAAAACAACTCTGAGATACCATCTTACTCCTGTCAGAATGGCTAGAATCAAAAACTCCGAAGACAATTTATGCTGGAGGGGATGTGGAGAGAGAGGAACACTCCTCCACTGCTGGTGGGAATGCCAACTCATACAGCCTCTTTGGAAATCAGTATGGAGATTCCTCAGGAAAATGGGAATTAATCTACCACTAGACCCAACAATTCCACTCTTAGGCATTTATCCAAATGAGGCAAGTTCATACAACAAGGGCATCTGCTCCACTATGTTCATAGCAGCATTGTTTGTAATAGCCAGAACCTGGAAGCAACCTAGATGCCCCTCAACTGAAGAGTGGATAGAGAAAATGTGGTACATTTACACAATGGAGTATTACTCAGCAGAAAAAAACAATGGAATCTTGAAATTCGCAGGGAAATGGATAGCACTGGAAGAAACCATCATGAGTGAGGTAACCCAGTCGCAAAAAGACAAACATGGTATGTACTCACTCATATATGGATTTTAGATATGGATCAGGATAGTGCCAGTCTGCACTTCCACAGATAGAAAGTCTGGGAAACAGGAAAGAACCTAAAAGATATGCATATATGCATAGTACCCAAGAGAAGAGGATGGAGACAAGATCCTCTGAATGGATGGGGAACAGGGCGAGGGGGGTAGTGGGACCTGGGAAGAATAGAGGGGGTAAAGAGGAAGGGAGTTGGTCATGGGGGAACAGGAAGTTGAGGGGGTGGGGGTAGAATAGGGGGAAGAGGATCGAAGACAGATCAGGCACCAGAGTGACCTCGAGTGATCTAAAGGTATAACATCAATTGGCAAGCTAAGCAATAGTGGAAGGACCACCTCGAATGCCCATTCCTGATAATGAACTTGATGTCTATAACTATCCGGGAGCCTTCATCCTGGGACTGATGGAAGCAGAGGCAAACACACAACTAAGCACTGAACTGAACCCAAGGAACCCAGTGACAGAGAGAGAGGAATGATGAGCAAATTGGCAAAGAATGGGCTGGCAAAACCAGCAGAGACAGCTGATCTGAACAGGGGAGTGCTCTTGGACCCCAGACCGACAGGGGGGAGGCCAGAATGGGACTGATCTGGACCCCCCAAATGTGAGTGTCAGTGAGAAGGCCTGGACAACCTATGGGGCTCTGAGCTGTGGATCAGTGTCTATCCCTGGTATACAATCTGTCTTCATGTGCCTATAGCACAAAGAGAGATGCTCTCTCAGCCTGGACTCTTAGGGGAGTGCCTTGACCCTACCAAGAGTAAAATGATAGACTCTAGACATCCCCTATGTGGAAGGATTTGGCAATAGGGTGGGAGGGAGGGTGGAAGGGGAGTGCGGGAGGAGGGGAGGGAGAGGGAACTGGGATTGACATGTAAAACAAGCTATTTAAAATAAAAAAGAAAGAAAAAAAAAGAAAACATAACCTTTGCAGAAAAAACTGAACATAACTGGAGAGCAGAGGCAAACTTACTGCACAACTAGCCATCTCTTCTTTTGGCTCTTCTGTGAGTTTCTGTCTCAGGGAAATGACTTGCTCTAGTAACTCCTTGAAGATTTGTTTAAAAGTATCAGCAAACAGCATTCAGCTGTGCACAGTAGGCACAGCTTCAGAATCAGGAGACAACTCCTGCATTTGTTACACAGATACTCAAGAATATGGAAGAGATAAAATGGTAAGCTTCTCGGTTGCTTAGTCTAGTTGGTCTGCTCTGGACTCAGAGCTTGGGATTTATGGATCTGCTCTATGCAACCCAGGCAAAGGAGAACCTAGGAAATGAAAGCTAAACCCAAGTGTCAACGAAAAGACTTTAAAGAAGATCATGAATCTCAATTTGTTTTTACTAGCAAGGTGCTGGGGTTGCTGAAGCTCAAGTGAAAGCAATTTCATCAAAGGGCACTAGCGTTCAAATTGACAGACTGGGCTGTCATCTGCTTGGAAAACATTATCTCACAGATATATATGTAGATATATAGATATATGTATACATATATTATTTATCCCTGGCATCCAAATGGAATCGGGGAGCCCATACAACATGGAGGGATGCTCTCTTACTTTGGACACATATGTGAGGACCTAGGCCCTGCCCTGAGAGAAATGACAGATTCTGGAGATCCCCCATGAAGGGCCTCATGCTCCCTGGAGAGTTGAGTGGGGATTAGAGGTGTTTGGCAGATGGGGGAGGAGGGGAGGGAGAGGGAGCTGGGATTGACATATGAAACAAGCTTGTTTCTAACTTAAATAAAATATAAATAAAAAAGAATCATTATACAGCCTGAACAGGTTATATTCCCGAGAGAGTGTGTTTGTGTGACAGACACAGAGAGACACACATAGAAAGAGAAATAATTTTAAAAGGAGTCTATGAATTTAAAAGAGAGAAAGACTCGTATATGAGAAGTGTCTCAGTCATTGTTCTGTTGCTGTGTAGATAACATGACCAAGGAAACTGTTACAGAAGAAAGCATTTAATTGGGGACTTGCTTACAGAGTTAGTCCATTATCATCACAGAAAGAGCATGCTGGGAACATTCCAGCACTCATTACTCTTGAGCAATAGCTGAGAATGACAACATGATCTGTAACGATAGTGAGACATATGAGCCTGACATGGTAATTTGAAAACTCAAAGCATACCCAAAGCGGCACACTTCCTCCAACAAGGGTATATCTCCTAATTCTTCTAATACTTTCAAACAGTTCCACTCCCTGGTGACTAAGTATTCAAATATAGGATCCTATAGGGGTATTTATATTCAAATAACCACAGGAGAGTTTGGAGGGAGGAAAGGAAAGGGAGAAAGGCTGTAATTATATAATAACCTCAATACTAATTAGAAATAAATTGTAGCCAGGCATTGGTCACTCACGCCTCTAATCCCAGCACTCCAGAGGCAGAGGCAGGGGGATCTCTCTGAGTTCTAGGCCAACATGGTTTACAGAGCACATTCCATGACAACCTCCAAACCAATACCGAAAAAATCCTGTCTCTCATAGGAAAAAAATTGTAAAATTAGGGATTCAACCTGGGAGTCAGATGAGATAGAGGTCACTGGGGAAAGTACATGTGGAAAGGACGGGTAGATATGATGATGATGTATACACACAAAGAATTTTCATAGAATAAAAATTAGAACTTTTAAACTTAACATAGAAAGTGAAGACAAATGGCTAAAAATAAATCACTACTATTCTATTAATAACAACATCATCAATCACTTTAGAAATACCTTGCCAAAGATTCCTTATGTCAAAGAACTTTCTAAAGGATTATTTGTGTTTGTGTTTGTAATAAAGGCTATGCTGCATTATATTTTTGTAAAACACATCTTTGAGAACAAAAATTCAAGCTGCAGGACAAAACCAAACTGTCAATAAGTTAAGCAAACGAAAGTGAGTCAAGTCCCCTAGCTACAACAGAACTGATTCCAAGGCGATGCTCCCCCAAAAAAATGAAAGAAGGCCAGACAAAAATTCTTTACACACCATGCATTAAAGTTAGAATTCAACAACCACAAAATTGCAGAAACCCTACAATCCCATGGAATGCTCCAGAGATGTAGATGGAGGCCTGCTTCATCCTTCTCTGCTTTTTCCTTTCCTCTGCTTCCTTCTTCCCTCCACCCTCCTTTCTCTACCCCTCTCTCCTTCTGCAGCATTTGCTTCCAGCTGGGCACAGGGAATGCTTTGTTTGTGCAGACAATCCATGCAGCACCAGGGGCACCACCTCTACTTGGGTCTTTGGACACAGTAGATTCCTGGTGTTCCTTTGCTGCACCCACCCAGTGGTGCTGGGAGGCAGGGGTCTCTTCTGTCTTGGGTATGGATCCAGGGCTGCCTAGGTGTGTAAATTAAGGAATAATAGAGCAGCAGAAACATAAGCCTTCAATGACAGGGAATGTGTTTGCCTGCTAAGAAGCAATTTCAGCGAAAATTAACTCCATTCCAACAGGAAGAGTGAGGCTTGGCATCAGCCAGCCAATCCCCAAGGACAATGAAATCACTCAGTCAAAACTCTGCTTGCTTAAAACCAAGTGATCACTCCAGGATCCTGGCTACAGACAGCAAGTAACTAGGTTTTAATGAGCAAAAATAGCTTCTTGGATAAATGAGAAAAATAAGCCACAGCCTACCTCTATCCCACACTTTCAGGGTGCATATCTCAAGGACACTTTTCCCCAGGGCTCTGAGTGGCTGTGTGAGGACCATGCAGTTTCCATGCCAGCTAATCCTGGGCTATCAGGTTGAGTCCTTGGCCAATAATTTCTGTCTACCTTCTCCACAGACTCTGTCTTGTGATGGTGTATAAGACACCAACGTCCTGCATAGCAAAGGTCCTTTGCATTTATCCTCAAAACCATGAACTTGCCAAGTAGGTCCCAGGAAGATGCCAACAGTGTCCTCCTGTCTGCCCAAGACATCTGTCCATCCTAGTCTGTCTTCGGCAAGAGTGTCCATAGCCTGCCATGTCCTGGACAAATGTTACGTGGTAGTGTCACTAAAATCTATGACCGTGGCTAGGTCTGTGGCTTTGACCATCTAATGCTCCAGAGATGTAGATGGAGGCCTGGGTGATTAGTTGTGACCAATCCCATCTTGAAAAGTTACTTATCTGCTGTCTAGTGAAAAATCTGCCTACTGGCTTCTCTCCAAATTAGACTTTTAACTAATTACTAATCTGTAGCAAGCAGGGACCACCAGAAACAGGGAGCGTGCCTATGAGGGGTAGATGATGGGTAGGTTTATTAATGTAAAATATCAACATTAATATTGATACCCAGAATGCATTATGTATCTGTATCGATTAATGGCTTGGATGTTGAGGGAAGTGCAGGCTAGACCACAGTCCTCTTTTTCCAAACCCTCCTTGCTCCAGAACTCTGAGCTCGTGCCCCAGATCAGGCCTCCAGAAGCTGTGCAGGCTCTCACCCTCTCCAGATCATCCCTTCCCAATGTGAGGGCCAGTTTTGATCCCCATGCTGGTGTTTGTGGATATCATGCCCAGTCTCCCCAGTCTTAGAACAGATGTGTACTTCAGTGGCCCTGAACTGATATCACCCCAAGTCAGGGCCAATTTACAGGCATACCCATGTAGAGAGCACTGTCAGCTCACCATCACTGCAACACAGTCCTGAGGTGATTCACTCATGAAGAGAGAAGGTTTGTGCTGGTTCATATTTGGGGACTCCGGGCCATGGCCAGATGGCTCAGGGACATTGGGGTCTGAGGTGGCCTGTCACAGTGTGAGTGTGTGGTGAAGCAAAGTGAGGGGGAAACAAAAGAAAATGATGGGCTTGGGGTCTCACGGTCCCTCCACATCCCAACCATCTAGCAATCTCCAACTAGGACCTTCCTCTTTAAGTCTCCTCCAACCTGCATTGGTGCTGAGATTCGTCTTTGGGTGACACTTAAGTTTCAAATGACAGCAAGATTTAGTCCCTTTCTACCTGAGCATGTGTATTAGATCCATCTCTTGGTAGATAAAGTTAAACTGCCAATCAAAACCCCAAATGGGTTCAGATGTCTGGATCCTGACACTGAGCCAGCCCGTAATCTGCTCAAGAGAGCCTCCAGCATGCAGCCGTCCCATGATCAGAGAGGTCTGTCCTATGGTGCTGAGAAACCATACAACAGACCTCGTCAATGAGAAAAGATAACCAGATGGGGAAAGAGCCAAAGGATATGAATTCACCCAGAGGGGTACACGTGGGTCAACAGGCATCTCAAAGATGCTCAGAGACATGAAAATGAGGCCAATCTTGTGATACTGAAGCATTCAGCTCACAATTGGTGAAGTTTTGCTTGATGTTATCACAGGCTGTCGAGGGGAGAAGCTCGGAGTCCAGCAATTCTTCTCCCAGACAACATCCCTGTAGTGCTGCATGGAGCCACACAGCTGTTTGTCAGCCTGGACAGATTGCGCAACCCGACCCTGTGAACATGCAGTAACTCTACAAATACCAGAACACAGCTCAGTCCTACCTGAATAGAGAAGGTGCCCTCCATCAGCTTCTGGAGTAACTGCCCCCAGAGTGCTCTAGGGTGTGGGGCTAGACTTCTTGACTTCCCTTCAATCTTTTACTGGCTTAAAAGAGTAGATGGGAGGCTAGACATTGGTGGTGCATGCATTTAAGCCCAGCACTTGGGAGGCAGATTCAGGCGGATCTCTGTGAGTTCGAGGCCAGCCTGGTCTACAGAGTGAGTTCCAGGACAGCCTCCAAAACAATACAAAGAAACCTTGTCTCGAAAAACCAAAAAAAAGAAAAAATACTGGATTGGTCGAGAGAGCAACTCAACTGGTAGAGGGTCTCGCTACAATGGTGTGGTTCATGCCTGCAACTCCAGAATTTAGGAGGTGGAGGCAGGAGAATGGGAAGTTCAAGGTCGTCCTCAACTACATAGTCAGCTCCCACATCTATTGACTTCCTCTCCAGTCATTTTTGTCTCATATTTAGGGTCAGCTTGGAAAGGATAGTGGTTTGGGACAGGGCCCACTGAACTCAGCCAAGCTGCCAACCTTGCCTGTGGCCAGCTGGCATAGTCCTGGTGGCTAACGTGTCTGAGAAACTTCCCATTAGCTGTGACAAAGGGACAGCAGGCTGTGAGTTGCTTACTCTCAAGTAGCCTGGCGCAAGGCTGTCTACAGGGCAGTCACAGGCACTAAGAGCAGGAGAGATAATCTCAGAGACAAGCAAGGCAACTCTGCCTGAGATTCAGACAACTGACCTGTGTGTGGGGGTGGAGACTGAAAGTCACAAATTCATGGAAATTTAA